ATCTACATGTGCCTGTAAACAAAATGTTATTTCCGATTGTAAGCCCTCCCTGGATAAAAGCCCTCCTCTTATTTGAAATGAATTCGATTTATTATGTTTTAAAACTTAAATAGAAACCAGTATAGAAAGTACGTATTACGATCGACACTGCTGTAGCTCATTTCGAAACGGTTTTTAGTTATTCCACTTATAAGGCCCCTGCAGCCCGGATATAAGCTCTTCCGTTTATAAGCCCAATCCAAACCCACTACAAAGTTTTATAAGCCAGGGCTTATAAGCAACAGTAAACGGTGTGCGTATTTTAATAGCTATTGTGTTATCCATTTGTTTTTCATTCCCTTAGAAACACCAGGCTTCCCAACCATCGCAAAGTTAGACATAAAAGCCACTTCGCTGACAGTAAAATGGACTGTACCAAGTGATGATGGTAAAGGGTAGCACTGAGATAAAGAATGTTAATAATACTGACCCTGGAACAACCAATCTGTCTGTTGGAGGTCTGGAGAGAAATACCACGTACACTATGAAAGTGTTTGCGAGGAATGCTGTGTTTGAGGAACCCGCTGCATAAAAGAAAGTGAGGACTAAGTATGAAGGTAACAAACTGTGATACTGCCATGCTATCACGATTTTTTTATTTGGATTATCAGTCGTTATGAATCATCTACAAATGATGTAAGTTACTGCAAGAACTTTTACGTAATATACACCTCAAAGAAACAATACAGAATAAATTTTATGATAATTCTCGCGCGCTCAGTGGCTAACTTTTATTGCTAATAAGCGAACAGATACATGAATTTACAATTTATGCGATGCGTCAGCGAGCGAGAGCGGAGAACTTGACAATTTGTCATCGTAAAAGAACAAATTGACGTCAGTTTTCATGCGTCGGTGCTGTTACTGACAATGAATTTCGTCATAACATTGTCAAAATAGTCTGCGGATCCACTCAGCTATCGCCTCGTGGATCCACAGCTACTTTGACAATGTTATGACGAAATTCATGATCAATAACAGGACAGACGCATAAAAAGCTGACGTCAATTTCATGATTGAAAAACGTTACTCTGGTTTAAAAATGTAAAAATGTTAGTAAAAATTTTTTGTAAAAGTCC